TGGTCCGCAATATTCTTACTTCAGTTCCTATGAGTCTCTCACTTGCTCCATAGGATCCGTCTCTGGTTCAGTGATTTCATTCCATCGCTGCCCCCGTATCCCTGCTACTCCAAGCGTTACGTTCTACACCCTGCCTCAAACCTTTGATAGCACCTATAAGCCAGTCACACTTAGCAAGCCCTTAAAGTCTGCATTCTCAATTGGTATGGTAACCTAACTTGACGCTGCAGATTCTCCTATCACTGCGCCGAATATGCAGTGAATAAATCTCATGGTCAGATCTTTGCTTCATAGATCACGCATATTATATTTATCTACTAATAGCCAACTATCATTAGGCTCCGCCGCATCTCTCGCTCTTCTATCTCTAAGGCCAAGTCTTTGACTTACTAATGCCCTAGTCTCTTGTGTACCGACCTCCAAATGTGATAGTTCTAAGTGATTTAAATAGATGTACTGTGGACGTCTCCTATTTGGTCACAATAGTTACACTATGATACCTTGTAATTTCTTTACTAAAAAGAACAAGATTACCATAATCTATTCATCTTCTTTTTGGTGATATTGCTATTCACTGAGCTTCCCTGAGTTTGCTCAGGTAGTATGCAAAGTTTATATTAATCCTGTCTCCTTCAAGTTTACTGTTAATTAGATTTCTTTCAGTCAAGATATCAATTGCTTCTCGTATCTTGAGCTTTCGTGTATTATCGCCATATGCAGCAAGCCTTCCTGCTGATTTCCAGACAATTTCATGTCCCGTCCGTGCAATGTGTTCCGCCATTTCTTATCTTCCAAGATCTATGTTTCTGCATAACTTTTGGTTTGCCTTGATTAGTAGGCTGATTTTTCGTCCTGTTTCGCCAATATAGTATGCTCGCACTAGCAGCATTTGATCCAATAGACTCCAGAACAATCCAGTTTGTTAAATTTCTTATGTTGCGTCTACAGGCTGTCGAATAATGTTGCCTTTGCCACTGTAGCAATTTTTAAATCAGTTCAAAAAGAGCAGACAAACTTTTTTTCGTATAGAAGTAGTTTCGAGACTACCAGTAAATCAGTTATATGAGATGTATCAACCTTATTTAGTTTAAAGTCAGGGACTGGTAGTAGAATTTCCCCACTGACGTTTGTAATGAATTTCACAGAGCCCTCTATTCCCAAAAGTAGTTCTTATCCAGGATGGATTGCAGTTTCGACCTTGCATAGATCTCATATAATTGATTTACTGGTAGTCTCGAAACTCTACTTATATACAAAAAATATGAGATATAGTCGATAGTTAAAGCAAAAATACGTTTGCTTCATCGACAATTCCACCAAGGTATGTGATATGGAAAAAGGCCCGACCTTCCTTTAAATTAAAATCTTCCCTGTGATCCAAGGGCACTCGCGGCAGTGGCCGAATGATTAACATGTCAAGCTCATATGCTGCAATGTCACGTTTCGACACCCGCTGGGAGTATTGATAAGACTTATGCGAGATCAAAACTGCAGTCCACTCTCGATAAGAACAACTTTTATGAAATTAAGGCTCTGCGAAATTCAATGGAAACGTAAGCTATACTCAGATGATTGTGAGAAAATTCTACTACCAGTCCTTCATCACCTTAACCGAAACGGTGAATACATCTCAAATACAAACTTTTGTTAGTACAACCTTGTTTTCGCAACTTGGTCGGAGCGTCAGATAGACCTTGTGGAACGTATCTAATCCCGTATCCTCTGCCATAGTATTCGTGATTTCCAGCCAACAAAAGCTCACACACATAAACATCATCCCAGTAATCTAGGATTAGATGGAAATGTCAACTTGAGAGCTGAAAGGAGGGTCACAGGGCAAATGTGAATTTCAAGGAAGGCCAGGCCTTTTCACATATCACATTCTTTGGTAGTCGTCGATGAAGCAAACGTATTTTTGCTATAAAATCGAGTACATTACTTATTTTTCGTATATAATTAGAGTTTCGAGACTATCAGTAAATCAATTATGTGAGATGTATCACCGTAAACGAAATACGGTGAATATATCTCATATAACTGATTTACTTGTAGTATCGAAACTCAACTTATACGAAAAATAAGTAATGTAGTCTATTTTTATAGCAAAAATACGTTTGCTTCATCGATAATCCCACCAAAGAATGTGATATGAAATGAAAGTCTTCAAAACAATGCTTTCTTAGGACATTAATCTAAATTTGCCCTTGCTTCGTATATGCAAAGAAAGGAGACCGTGAGCATACTAAAGGCCGCATCATCCCCGTCTTCACACCTTCGATTAATTTTGT